AAAAAAAAGAAAGTTCAATTTAATTCAAATATTGATTAATAGAATGGTCAATCTTTAAAGTTCCTTGAGCTTTTAGGAATGAAATAGTACTAATCATTGATAATAATGTAGAATTTGTATTAAATTTAGGATAACAATCCCATAAAATATTTAATAAAGTATCACGTTGATATTGATTAGCTAAATTTCCAATACTTTCAATTAATTTAGTTAATTCAACATTAATTAATTGATCATTTAATTGTAATAAAGAAAGAATAATATTATGAAGGATATGAGAATCTTTACAAATACTTTCAACAAAAATTCTTTCTGAATCTTTATTTTTTTCTAAATCTTCAACAACTTTTTGACGTTCTTCAATAATTGTTTGAAGTTGAGTAATTCCATATTTAATTGGTTTTTCTCTAATAGTTTTATCTACATTAATTAAGAAAGAACTTCTAAGTAATTGTAATAATAAAATAATAATATTATTATGAAGGTTCATTGAAAGAAGTTCAATCATCAATAAAAAGATTTCATTATCTTCTCTAATGTATTGTTGGAATAAATTTGGACGTTTAAATGAAGTTCTAATAATTTTATGTATTTCTTCTTTAAATTCATTTTCATTTTTAACTTCTTGTTTTTTAATGAGTTGATTCATTATTTCAATAATCTTTGGAATTGATTGTTGATACATTTCTGAATCACTTTTTAAATGGAACGCATAAGCACCACCACCAAATTGATATAACATTCTTTTTCCTGAATATGAAATATTATGAAATTCATTTTTACTTACTAACTCTCTTATTGGTTCATTCCATATATTTTCATTATTTTCTTTAATTTCCATATCTCTTTTATAATTAAATAAATAATAAATAGTTGACATAATATTTTCAATAATTTTCATTTCAATACCATCAAACATTGATTCATTATTTTCACTAATTGGTTTTCTATGAATAATTCCTTTTTCTCCTTTACTTTCTGGTTTTAATTCACCATTAATAACTTTAGTATATTCTTTTTTAAATAATTGATAAAATTCATTTTCTATTCCTTTTTTATTTTTAATAATTGATTTAGCAATTGTTCTTGATAATGAAACTGATGGTTTAGGTAAAATACCTTGTTTAAATGAATAAATAGTATTAGTCAATTCATTCCGAGTATATTGTTGATAATATTCAATATCTAATGAACTTAATAAACAACTTATTAATTTAATAATAATAAATGAATTTTCTTCATTATTTTCTTTAATCAATTCTATCATTTTATCTATTAATGTATCAACATATTCTTCTTTTATAATATAATTCTTTTGAGTTATAATCCAATAAAATATAACTCCCATCATTCCAAATATATTATTCTTTTCTTGAATTTGATTCATTATTTCTAAAATACCATTAATAATTCCATAAATCATTTCATTCATTTCTATTGGTTCTCTTTCATCAATAATTTTATTAATTGCCATTTCTTTTGTTTCTGTAATTGTTTGTAATTTTTCTTCTTTTCCTTTATTTTTATTATTTACCATTACATTTAATGTTTCTTTGAGATTTTCAACATATTCAAATTCTATTTCTCCTCCTTTAACTTCAATTTGTTTTTCTACAGCAATAATTCTATTTTCTTGAATAATACTTCTAATAGTATATTCAATTTCTTTTAATCTTGGTTTCTTTTCTGTAAAATATTGACAAATTGTAATTAATGCCATTTCAGATAATTGATGTGGTAATAAAACAATTGTTTTAATAACTTCAAAATGTTGTTTATAATGATTTTTTGAAATTTCAATAATTTCAATATTTCTTAATAAAATTTTAATAAGAATACTAATAATACTTGGTTTTAATTCATTGTATTTATCAATAACATTATTACAGAAATTTGTAATAAACCTAGGATTACTAATAAGATATTTTAAAAGAATATTAGGTCGTTTATTTTGATTATCATAAATAAATAATAAACATTTATTCCATTCTTTATTATCATTTGAATTAATCATTTCTTCATTAATTTCTTTAAATCGTTCTATAATTTTTTGTTCTGTTTGTTCATCAACTGAAAGTAATTTTAATGTGTCTTGACATGCTTTATTAATTCCTTTATATCCTTTGTTATAAATTTCTTTAACTTTATTAATAATATCTTCTTTATATTCATCTCTATCTTTAGTACTTCTGGTAATATTATAAATTATTCCAATGATTTCAATTCCCATTTTAATACTTTCTTCAAAAATATTATTTTCTTTTCCTTCTTTATTATCTTCTTTTTTCATTTCTTCAATTACTTTTCTTTCTTCATAATTAAATTCTTCTTTACTTTCTCCATAAATTTCAATATCTTCAATTGAAATATTATCTTCTTCATTAATTGTAGAACAATAACTAATATTAATATTATCACTTGAAAGTGATTCTTTTTTTCTTAATTCAATATCATACCATCTTTCTCCTTCTCCAATTGGATAACTTCTTTCTTTAAAATTAATTTGTTTTGGTACTTTTTTTCCAACATAAATTTTAATTCCTCGAATAACTTCTTTTGTACATTTAATACTACAATGATATAATTGAATTCTACCTTCTGGAATAATAATTCTTTTAATATCTTCTTTTATTTCATATTCTTCTGGTTTAATATATTCTATTTTTTCAAAAAATCTTTGTTTATTTGATCTCATTGGTTTTAATTTATTAATTCGTTCAATTTCTTCTGTTTCTTTTAATCCAATAAGAGTTCCATTACAAATACCAATAAATATTATTTGTTCTTTATTACTATAACAAATTCCTCCAATTTCTTCTTTTTCATATAATTTAATATAATTTAATCCATTATTCATAATTTTATATGATTTAATACTTTTATTCTCTTGACAATTACTAATCATTGTATTTTTACTTGTTTCAACAAAATATGTTGGTAATGTTTCAAATATTGTTTCTACTTCATTACAACTTTCTCCTTTATTATTCAATTCAATTAAATAACTTTCTAATGTTTCTTTGCTTAATATTAATATATTTTCTCTTTCTAAATATTTCATTATAAATAATTCTTTCTCATGTTTTATTATAAATTCTTTTTGAATAATTTCTTCTTTATTATTTTCATCAAATGATTTAGGAATATCTTGATAAAACAATTCTGATTCAGTGGTACTAATAATAATTCTTCTTATAATTGGTGTTTTAATAATAACACTTGATAAAATTTCTCCTTGTGGAATTTTATAATCAATACTTGGTTCAATAATGGAACTATTATTTTCATTAATTTTATTAATTTCAAATATTTTAATTGAATTTCTTGTTGTAATTGCAATACGTTCTTTATCTATCCATTCAATACAATTAATAAAAACATCTTTATCTGTACTATCCATAACTAATTCAATTTGTTGTTCTTCTTCATTTTCTCCAATAATAATAATTTCTGCATTTCTATATCCATTAACTAATATCTTTTTATTCTCTTCTGGACAACGAATCATATTAATAATTTCAAATGGAACTTCAATAACATTATCCTCTTCATTATTTTCTATTCTTTCTATTCCTTTTAATGAAAGAAGTTTTTGAATATTATTCATTTCAATTTCATTTCCTTTTCTTACATAATAAAGTGTTTCATCATCACAACATATTAAATTTTGTTTAATAATTCCTTTAGATACCATTGGTACAATTCTCATATTTTGACTACTTTTCATTTTAAAATGACTTTTATCAATAAGTAAAGTTTCTTCATATCCAATACCAATTCCTTCATTTTGTAACATAACTTTATTTTTTAAAACATTTTGATTTCTATCTTTCTCTTCTTTATAATGTTCTTTTGTTTCTTCAATTCGTTCTATTAATTCTTTAATTAATTTAGGTATTGTATAATCTCTATTTAATGCTCTTAGAATAGCTTGTTGTTTTTTATCTTTAACTCCTTCATCATTACTACGTTTTTTATCTTTCTTTTTATCTTCTTCTTCTTTACATTCACATCCACAAATAGTAGTTACTTCACCAAGATAAATAGTATCATGTCCTTCATGACAATTTTTAATACATGAATTACAACAATCAATATCACAAACATAACAATGATACATTGGTTGTTTAAATTCTTCAGTATATTCTTTTTTACTACATTTATCTTCTCTTTTAATTATATCATCATTTCCTTCTTCTTTTTTAATAAGATTTCTTGTTTCATTCTTTTTTTCTTTCTTTGGAATAATCATAATAATATGTTGAATTTCTTCAAGTAATGATGAAATACCTTCTATTTCTTTATAACTAAATTCTTTATATTCTTTATTTAATTTTTCTAACCAACCATTTAATGTATTAAGAATAGTAATAAATTCTCCATTTTCTAATGAATATTCTGTAATTACTTTAAAATATTTTCCAATATAATTTGGATATTTCTTAAATACTTCTTCAATACCTTGTGAAAATGCTTCAATAACTCCATTAACACTAACTTGTCCAGTAATAACATTAACTTTCATAATTGAATTAATAAATTTAAAAAATTGAATTGTAGTTGAACTTTCTGCAATTCTAAAGATATTATCATTGTCATTAAATCCAATAATATTTTGAATACCCCATTTTGAAAATATTTCTTTTCCATTTCCTTCAATAATTGTTTCTATTTCATCTTTAATAGTATTATTTCCATTACATAATTCAATTATATAATTCATAATTTCTTCATTAACTTCTTTATCTGTAATTTCTGTAGCACATTTAAAATATGTAATTAAATTTGGTTCTCTGTAATAATTTTTATGTTGATAATAATACATTTCACCTCCAACTTTTCCATGTTGTTTTTGAACTTCAATATCTTCAATAATTCTTTTCATTTCTTTAAAATATTCTCTAATATTTGGAATAACAATTTTATATTCTTCTTTCTTACTTTGATATTCTATTAAGAAATCTTCTAAAAAGTCATCAATAATTGGTAAAATTGCTTGTTTCATCATTGGTTCACTTAAAGTATCTCCACATAATTTCTTTCCAACTTCTATTACTTCATTTTCAATAAATTTATTAATATAACTAATTGATAACTTAAAAATTTCTTTCATAATTTTACTGTCTTGATAATTTCCATTAATATTATTTCTTTCACATACTTCTTTTATTAAAAGAATAATACTTTCTATTAAACTTTGTTTCATTCCAATTCTTCCTTGTTTACTATTAACATTTGGATGATATTCAATACTTTCAATTAAATAATTAATTGGATGAATAAATTCTTTCATTTCAATTCCTTGTTGTGTTCCAATTTCTTTAATAATATTTTTCTTTTCATTAATTTCTTTTGGTGTTGAATATAATTCTTCAATAATATGTTCAATACTATTTAAATCAATTCCTTTATACATTACATCAATAAAAATTTGACTATATTCTTTACTTATTCCTTTTTCTTCAATATATTCTTTCCATCCTTTTTTCATCATTTCACTATATTTTTGTAGAATTTTTGTAATCATATCAAATAAAATTTGTGGTTTTTTAACACATATTTCATTACATGCTTCACTAAAACTTTGAATTGGTAATATTGGTAAATTATCAATAATTCTTATTTTATTATTATT